AACCTCTGCGAATTCATATTCGTGGCTGCGAATCAATTCTTGTGACTATCGTGACGGAAAATCGTTACTTTAATAATGACGAGATGATCTACAAAAATCAGCCAATCACAATAAAAGTTCGCTATGCTTCATCTGGCTAATTGAGAGTCATCCAAGACTTCAGCTGACTAAGGATTTACCATTTCATAAGATCTGAACTTCACCTGACCAAATTAAGGTTTAAAATAAGATCATCCTGAATGCAATCAGGTGCTATTGCAATTTTAACGTTTCTCTGAAAAAATATTTTTACAGATTGAAAAAAAAACAAATAGTTCGGAAGTTTTTACTAACTTGGACAATTGAAACTTTAAACAAAGATCATTTAATGAAGTTTATTTATCAGTTGCCCCATTAATTATGATAGCTGTAATCTTGACCAAAAATGATACCTAGTTAACTCAACTAAAATCAAAAAAGTTATAAATTCGCCTGAAATAAAACCATTTAAAAAATTTTTAAAATTTAATAAAGCAAACAATACTAGATCTTATCTAAAATCCACATTTAATCAAATAGTTAAATTAGCTCAAAAACTCAAACCAGTTAATGTCATTATTAGCATTGAACATAAATTTAATAACATCGTAATTTCTTTATATAATAAGAATGATCAAAAGAACAAAGAATTTATTGATAGTGTTAAATTTTTCAATCCGATTATAAGTAATCCATCAAATGATGAAAACGGAGAAAATGAGGAAACAGAAGAAGAAAAGGAAGAAACAGCATCTAAATCATCTATTCGAGAAAGACAAGTACACGAAGTTATATTAGGCGGCGACAGAATTTACGGTAAAAATGGTCATGAGAGAGTTACTGGTAGTGCGGGATTTTGGGTATTAGATAATTCCAATCAGAGTTATTTATTAACCGCAGGTCATGGAGCTAGAGTTCTTAGTAACAGATCTAGGACTGTGAAATTTTATTCAAGTTCAAATACCATAATCGGTCCAATGCATTATTATCATTCTAACATAACTGATTTTGGATTAATTTCATATGAGAATCCAGAAATCATACCAGTACCAAGAATAAGGAACTATGAAGCTGCGCTTTACCCTGAGATATTTATAGAAGACGTTTTATTTATGAATACTGAGGGATCTCATGTATGTAAATCTGGTGAAAAAACCGGTACAACTTGCGGGGAATTGGCTGCAATCGATGGCGTGTCTACAAATAGTAAAGGTTTTATACTTTACGGAATCCTCAAAATGCGGTTGTTTGCTGCTGGTGGCGATAGTGGTGGTTCTGTATTTCATTATGTAGACCTTTCACATCGTTATTCATTTCCTTATGCATACGCAGTTGGTATATTAGTGCGTTCAAATGTTATTAGAGGCACTAGCATAGTTGTACCAGCAAACGTAATCATGCAATATGGTATTAGATTTATGGGTCGTTATTAAAATATTTTTAAAATGAGAATTTCAGAATTGAAATGAGATTTCAGAATTAAAATGTAGGAATCTAATTTTAATTTGAAATAGAAGGCGTTTATTTTAGTTTGCATCAATTTTTGATAGATTTGAACTAACGATCTTTGTTATTGAAAAGTTTACTAATTTTATATTTTAAAACATTCCCATTTCATTTTCCGACTTCGAAATTTTGAAAT